AGAAGCTTCACAAGATTTGTCATTTTGGCCATCTAATTTGGGTAAAATAAGGTCTTAATTTTTGCGTTTTTACGTAACGTTTTTCATAATGCTATACTTTTTATATAGTACTTTTTTAAAAAGTTGTTTGTCACGTTTTTATAAGTTATTTAAGTTTTAATATTATTTAATTTGGGAATACTAGTGTTGCTTGAACAATGAATGAATTTAAAAGTTATAAGTGCTTTATAAAAATCATAACACTATTATAGTGTTATTACTTTTGTAATGCAGTTAGTGACTAGAGTGTTATTACATTTATATTCGTAAATTTATTGTTTTATTTTCTATTTTTTCGCTAATAAAATTGATTCTCCCCTTGAAAACAAGGAACACAGTTTTGTATAAACTAAAATTTTGAATACTAAATATTTTTCCAGAATTTGCGTTTCGCATTTGCTTAATTCAACCCTTGGTGTTACATTAAAATTATACAAATAAATTTTACAAACACATTGCAATTTGTATTTTTGCTGTCCTCTTAAAAAAAAATTAAGAAAAGGAAAATCATTATTTTTATCGTAGACTTCAAACTGCATTTTTTTTTTGCTTCGCCTTATCTAATTTTGTTGCTGAATGTAACAACCACTCTAAAGAAACAGTACACAAATTATTTAAATTAAAACTCTTTTTATTTTGTTAGTTTTGCTTTTTTTTTTTTTTAAACGTTTTTATCATTATTATAAAACTTGCAAACGGCCGTGTTCAAGTTGTCTAAAATAATATACTCGCGTGTGGTAACTTAAGACGAAAAACCTAACGCCTTTCCTGGGAAGGCTTGCATACTAACTATTTTTAAATGAATGAGTGTTGGCAAAAATGATTAATCACGTTGCGTGTGATAAATAATTGAGTAAATAGATCATTTTCATATATTTTGCTGTATCATACAATATGGAATTTTTTCCTTTTTAATATATGTTTTTAGCACCCCCTCTAACTTTCGCGACCTTTCTACGCCATTGTAACACAATATCAGTTTATCTAATTTTTATTCTTTATTAGAACTAACAATTTGTAAGATGAATGCTGGGACAGTCTATGATTTTTTGAAATGTGAATTTCAACCAAATAAGGAAGTAAAAAAGAAAAATATATAGAATACTCAGCCTGTAATTAGTATATACAATAATATTATTAACTCTTTTTTTTTCCAGAAAATTTAATTAACATGTTAAGAAGTATGTTGAATGCTCTGTAGCTTTTCTTAAAAAAGAAAATTAATGTGAAGTTATCTCCAGCAACACTACATTATTGTCAAGTAATTTATGTTTTTTTGACAAGATTTTGTTTTGACACAAGATGTTTATAATTGTAAACTTAAAGTAAAATGTATTTTATTTCGTTATCGACAATAATATTTTTATATATTTCAATACAGATAAAGTTTTGGTCGAATAATACATGAAGGAAAATAAAAATATTTTGGTTTAAATTTTCTATTAGCCCTTATTTCCTATTAGCCCCGTACTACATAAATGCAGTTAAAAAAGTCAGGTAAATATCAACACACCTCAGCACAATTTTATAATTATTCATTTTTATAGATTTTTTTTTTTCATATATTCATTCACTTATATTTTTAACTTTAAGATTATTTCCTGAAAAAATACGATTATTTTAGCTATAGAAAAATGATAATGAAAAGCTTTTCAATATTATGATGGTTTTAACGATGAATAAGTTTTATATTGTTAAGAAAAAATAGGTTGTTGACTTACATTAATCTTTTTGTAAATTTCATTATAGTTACATTTATGGTCGAATAAATGATGAAAACAAGTGGAATAATATAGGTGATATTTTTCCATTGGCACCTTCGAAAATACTAAATAACTGACCATCTTTTTTTTTTTTAATTTAATGTTCTAGTAATACAAGCTAACACTTCTTTATTTGTTTCTTTTTATAATTTTTTAATAAACCAGCGTCTTTATTGTTTAGAGAACAAGTTAAATTAGTCACACTATAATGTACTACTATTATAGTAAAAATACGAAGGATTTTTTTTTTCTAGTTACCTGTACTTAAGTAAAAATTGAAAAATTATTATTTTTATATTACTTTTACTTAATCACATATTTCTTAAAAAAATATTAAATTCAAGTAAATTAATTAAACACCAAATAAAAATATAAAGTTCTACTATTAACTAAAACCCAGTTTCTGAATGTGATAATAATAATTCCTACAGAGTTCTCACCAAAACCGGCTTATCCTTTCAAGTGCCAAGTAAAAAGCTTGTTGTTCCTACTAAATACTGACTAAAATTTGCTATTGCGGCTAATGGCCGAATAATAACCTGAGTATTCATACTAAGTTTCAATTAAAACCTGTTTAAACTACTAAGTTCCATGTGAGTACTTATCAGGAACTTAGTAAGTGTTATCAATACAACTTACTAAGTACTTAATAGAATTAGCCGGGTATTTTGAGGGAAAATTTCTTCCACCAGTCCTGGTCAGCCTTACGGGAGATGATCTTAAAGCAGTAGACGTCTCAAAAAAGCCAAATGTTGTTTTCACTATCCCTGTTTATGCTCATTGCATCAATCATTGAAAGTAATCTTCCTCAACCTACCAAGGGTTTTCCAATTCTTTCGTATGAAGCGTTTTTTCCATCAATTTAGTCTAGCCTAGCTGATAAAATCTCTAAAAAGTGCAATATCTACTTTTCCTCTCAAGCTTTGCTGAAAAAAACACGTTTATATCCATCTTTTCGCTTTAACACTCCCTCCTATAAAAAGAGTCCGACCAGTTTGCATTGCTGCCAAGCTTCAAACAGAATTGATAGATGCTGTCACTCTGCAGACGAATTTGGAAACTGCAGTATGGTTAGATTAAAAAGATGTTGACGCAACGGGACCGATTGTACCTCAAAAGCATTCAGTACCAATATTTGTTACAAAATGGTGTTGATAATAATTGGTACTGAATTGGTGTTGAAGTGATCTTCGATTAAAACAATTATGGTTTTAATCACCTGCTGCAGAACGATTGCATTTTGCAATCTTTCTGCAGCAGGCTTCAACATGTCTCAGCCTACTATTTCAAGAAAACTCAAACGCTCAGATTTATCAAGAAAACGTGTTGTGCATGTGCCAGAAGAACGAAACTCAATACGAGTTAATAATGCACGCTATGCAATTGCAAGCAAAATAAAGGGAATTTCAAATGAAAAACTTGTTTATTTGGATGAAACTGGATTTAATGTGCACACTAACAGCACATATGGTTATTTGCTAAGAGGTACGCCAGCAATTTTACAGTCACCTGCAAATTGTGGTAAGAATGTTAGTTTAATTTGTGCTGTTTCAACAATGGGAGTGCTTGCTTATGAAACAAAAACTGGAGGCTGGAATACAGATTCATTTTGTACTTTCATAACTACAATGATGGCACCAGCGATTAGGAATGCAAATTTGGAAGCGCCGGTGCCTGTTATGGACAATTGTAAATTTCATTGAAGTCTTTCTGTTAGGCAAAAACTAGCCTCTCATGGTATAGCTATTAAGTATCTGCCAGCATACACGCCACAGCTTAATCCAATAGAAGAATTTTTTTCTTCTTTAAAACATACTTACAAACAGGGAGAAAGGCCCCGAAATACGGATGAGGTAATCAGGAGACCTAAAAATATTATGGATATTAAAGAGTTTAATATAGTTTCATTTTACAACCATGTGTGTAGTTACATTAATCCAGCGCTGGCTCGGCAACCATTTCTTAAATAAATAACAATGAAAACAACCTAATTTATATTTTAAATATATCTATATAAAAAGTTAAAAGCGTATTTATTGTTTATATTAAATTATATTAGAGATTTTATGGGTTGTTAACGCATATATAAACGCGCACATAAGAATGTATAAAGGCGCATATAAAAATGAATAAATGCGCATATAAAAATGAATAGACGCGCATATAAGAATGAATAACCCTGTAAGCAAAAAATTTTCATTTGTATTTTTTTTTTTAAACACGAACTGCTAAAATATTTACTCGTTACTCATTAAAATTCTGATTTTTTGTTATTATCAGGTCACACTTAGTTTTCTTTAAAATACCTCAAAATACCACATAAAGGAAAGGACAAGGATGTCTAAAATCGCCAAAAAATGTCACCTATTATTTGAACATTCCCTAAAAAATTAACTTTTGTTAGTTATTACGCTAATATTTACTAATATTTCACAGTTTACATTTAATCCATACTTATTTTGTCCAACCATTGTACAGGTTAACAGTTATTTTATAATCGTTATAAATTAATGAAAACCATATAAAAGTTTTCAAAGTTTTGTTAAGAAGATAAAACAAACCAAACGAGCAAAATAGTTAACATGCGTCAAACCTGACTATATAATTGATTCTATAAAGTAATTGATTACTTATGTCTTAATAAAGAAAAAGCATTAAAGAAGTTATTTAAATTACAATTAAGATACAATACAAACAAGATAGATAAAGATACAATACAAAAACATTATTAAGATAAAATGAAGGCAAGATAGATTAAATCTTTATTTGATTACTAATTTGAATAAATCTCTTACACAAAATAAATATATGGCTATAGTTTAATTAAGTACCATTCAGGTATAATTCAGGTAATGTCAATCTTTATAATCTCAACCACATAAAAATTAAAAAGTCATCTTAACTTCTAATCTTTGCAAAAATTAAAAAGTTTAGGCAATGATGTAAACAACAAAAGTATTTGCATTAAAAAGTTTAATGCAAATACTTTTGTTGTTAAAATATACATTTTAGTTGTATATATATATATGTATATATATATATATATATATATATATATATATATATATATATATACATATACATATATATATATATATATATATATATATATATATATATATATATATATATATATATATATATATATATATATATATATATATATATATATATATATATACTTATAGGAAAAAAAGTATTACTCAAATTTAAATAAAATGTCGACACACTTTAGTCGTTTCTTTAATCGAAATATGGTTAAAGAAGAATATTTTTTATTAATTACTTTTTGCAATATTGGTGTCATTTTAAATGGATTTGGGTTATTTGTGTTACTGAAGTTTAAAAGAGGTTTTGACTCAATTCAACATTATATTCTAGTTCAGCTTTGTTTGATTGACTTTTTTTTGAGCATACATGGTCAAATTTTATTATCGTTAGTTTTTTTTTATCCGAGAAACATAAATGGTGCTAACTTTGGAAACTTGGTTAAAAGATTTTTGCATTCATCGTACTTTTACATGACGTTTTTGTTGGTATTTGACAGATATTTACATTTAAAACTAAATATAAAATACAAAATCTACTGTTCAAAAAAAAAGGTCATTATTGTTACAGTTTGTGTATATGTTTTTGCAGGGACATTTGGAGGTCTTTTTCCTTATTACAACTCAGACTACACTATCCTTATTATACTTGGTTATGATTTTATTATAACTGCATTTTCAATTTTTTTCTACGTATACGCTTATATACTTTTTCGAAAACAAAAGGCTTGTCGCTCAAACCAAAGAAACAGACGAATGTTTAAAGGTTTGTTAGTAACAGTTTTTATATTTGTAGTTTATTTTTTGTTGGAAGCCATACCTGACATCTTAATTGAAATAGTTAATTCGCAAAAAAAATTTTCCAAGACAATAGAACTCTACGTTAATATTGCATTTGCTATGTCTTTTTGGACTGATGCACTAATCTATATATTTGCTTCTCCAAAAGTAAGTCTTTTATTAAAAAAAAAGCTTAGGTTTATATTTAGCTTTTGTTGCATGTCCATAGATAATAGTACATCAGGAAATAGAAGCACCTCCAATACAAGAAGTTTTAACATAACAGAGCCGTATGTTATAGAATCAGTTGCAAGCTAGATGATGAAAAGTTCAAGTTTTTAGAAACAATTTGAACAGATAACCCATTTCTTTATTGTTTATAAAATATAATTAGTAATAACTCTAAAAAAACTTCAATAATTATTTTAAATGTAAATGAGCATAATGTTTCAAAATGTTGTTTTCGATAATAAATTTTCAATAATAATTTCAAATATATATGAGCAAGCATGTTTCAAAATATTGTTTTTGATAAAATAAATTTATATTTTTTATTTTTGAGTGTTTTATAATATTATATTTTATGCAATGTAGATAGATTAAATTATAAATTACTTAAAGCTATTATACAATTAAAAACTTTTGTTTTACAAATAAGTTTTATTTTAAAGTTATATATAAAAAATATAATTTATCGCAAAATAAGTTCATTTAAATCAGCATACTTTAGTTATCAAGTTTCATAATCATAATCGCGGCAGATATCATTACATACTATAAAATAAAAACTTGACTCGATTTTACGGATACCAATATATTATGAAAAGGATTACAATCTTAAAAACATTTTGCTGGTATATATTAAGAACATTCATTTTCAATAAAAGAGGTCTGGCATGAGTATAACGATCTTTAAAGTTTATAAGATGTGCTATATGTTTCTATTGCCGATATAGAGGATCTAATTAATTTTTTTTAGCACTACCCCATGCGATATTTGCATAGTTTAAATGGCATTGAATTAGTGAATCATAAAGTTAAATTAATAAATGTCTATTTTCAAAATTTCTTGTTTTATACATTACTCCAATATTTTTTGAAAATTTATTGCGCAAAGTTTCGATATGTTTTTTCCATGTTAGATTTCCTCAATGAAAACACCAAACAAATGTATAACTTTTTATTTTTTATTTGAACATTGTCAATATATATTTTAGGCATATCATTTAATAAATTTTTTTTGGGGATTTTGAATGAAATAAAAATCATTTAGTTTTTTCCAAGTTAATTGATAGTTTATTTGACTAAAACCAATTTAAAATATTATTTAGTTCTAAGTTGATTTCATTAAATAGTGTAATGATATTTTCACCGGATAGAAAGAGATTTTTATCATCAAGAAACATTACTGTCTTCAAATTTGAGGCATTGTGCAGATTATTAACATAAATGAGAAAAAGTAGTGGCCCTACTATAGACACTTGCAAACACCACATATTATATCTAGTAAACTTGTTGAGGAGGATACGTCAATTTGTACAAAACTGTTCACGATTGCTTAGATAGCTTTTAGCAAATTTAATAAATTTAGGCTGATTCCATTTTTAAGTTTTTAAGTTTTTGAATAAGAATCTCATGATCTATTGTATCAAAGGTTTTTGATAGATCAATGAAAGTTTTAAGAGTACATTGTGATTTCTCAAAAGAATCTGCAATATCACTAGTTACATGTAGTTACATGAATTATGGGGTATTCCGTTAAATTATTTTTTTTGAATCCATATTGACTGCCATTTAATATTTTATTTTTAGAAAGATGTTCATATATTTTGTTGTAAAAAACCCTTTCAAAAACCTTTGAAAAGCCAGAGAGTACAGATATGTATCTGTACTCTCTGGTTTTTCAGTTGTAATTACAACTTGAATATTTTTTGCTAGAATAGGGCCAACAGATGCAAAATAGTTATTGATCTGGTTTGCTAAATCTTTTGCATTATACATGAAATCATCATTATTTCTGATAACTTTTGGTATGTTGCATCCAAGCGGACACAGACGTCAATCAAACGTCTTACGGACATCTTAACTAGGTCGCTACGTCTCAGACTAAATTAGGACGTCCTAAAGACGTCTGGTAAAGACGTCTTTGTTAGGACGTCCTTGTGACGTTAGTATAATGACGATATTAGGACTTCCATATTTAAACGTCCTATTGACGTCGCTAAGACCTACATTAGACGTCCTAATTACCTTAGAAATAAGTAGAAAAGTTAATATTATCATTTTGGCGCATACAATATTATGCGCTAACTCGGTTAATTAAATATGTCTACTTGTTTTGGTTGATTATTTTAAGATTATTAATTTTGTTTAGTTATTTATTGTTTAAAGATACTTTTTAAAATCTATATTCTATACTCTATGATCTATAAACTATAATCGATACAAAATTTAAATAATAGAAAATTGAGTTTAGTTATTAAGTAAATCTAAGTTACAAGTTTAATGAGGAAATTTTAACAAAAGACATCAAAATTGCATAAAGACTTTTCACTTTGTGTTTTATAGAATATTAATGATATTTTGTGTGTCTGTGTTATATATAATATATATATATATATATATATATATATATATATATATATATATATATATATATATATACATATATATATATATATATATATATATATATATATATATATATATATATATATATATATATATATATATATATATATATATATATATATATATATATATATATATATATATATATATATACCCAGCCAACATTGCCAGACGGGTACCGTACGGTTTTTGTCTTGGCTTACGGGAACGGGATTTTGACGGGTAAGTGTTTTGGTTTCCAGACGGGTCCCATATGGTAAAAAAATTTAGCATATTTGCTTGTTTGGTTTTTATCAGGGCCGAAGAATCTGGGGATTTGACGGGTTTCCCATAAGGTTCCCAAAAGGTTTAAACTGATAATTAAAAAAATCATAACAAAACTTACTCGATGGGTGCCATTTATAATTCGTATTGTGCGTGAAATAAGATTAAAAAATTAACTTTTATGCATTATATTTTTTCTATACATTATATTTACATTATAATTAAAAAGAAAATTTTTTTGATGTGTTTTGTCACTGTGAAACTCCATTAAAAAGACGTTGTTTTAAAATTTCATTTATTTATTACCATAATAAAAGAATTTTTTTGTATTTTTTTTTATAAATAAATTTACAAAGTTTAACATATTTCTTGAACATATGTTCCAAAAATTATTAAACATATAGTAAATATTCCATTGAGACACTGTTTTCATTTTTAAAATGATCAAAATATAAAGTTTTGTTTCTGCTAGTGACTGTAATAAATGGTTTGAGTTTGATCAAAATATTGGTTTAGTCAGAAACATTTAAAAAGAGCATACAGGCAAATGGAATGTAATTGATAAGTTTTATTTAGGGAATTAAAAGATTTTAAATCGTTTTTACAGATCCACACTTTTCCATTGATTTTTATATCTATATTTTATGCAAGCAAAATGACTGATTTTAACGAAGTTTACCCACCGTCAGATATAATAGTCAGATATAAATAAAGATATAATTAGATGTTTAAATGCAAAAAAATGGCTTTATTGTTATGCATTAACCTCATTTTTTAATCATTGATATTTTTTGACTTTGATTTAAAATTGTACACTTGCAATATTAACAATAATTTCATAATATACATAATAATAACTTACACTAACAATACCTATACTTGTAAATACTTGTAATATAATACTTATATTTATAATACTGAAAAAATTTTTTATTGATATGAACTTTTGCATTCAAACGTTAGTTATAAAACTTTAATTTAACTTGATAACTTTAACATGAATAACAATAACTAAAAAGATAATAGTTATTATATAGATTATAACCATATACTTATTTATTATAATCGAGTTATTGTAAGTTAAACAAGATAAAATGTTAAGTTCCAGGTAATAAGTCTTTTTGATATGTATCTTATGTATATCTTGTAACTTGCAGCATGTTAAAGAATAATTCTGCATGGTGCACTCTGACCTGTTGACAATATTTGCATACTGATATGAGTAAAAGTGACTTCAACAACCAGAATTTATTTTTGATAAATATTAGTAATAACAGGTTAGTAAATATAATTATAATAATAATGGTAATAACTTTTTATTATTAGAATTAGTAAGAGACTTATGTATTATAGAACTACATTAACTTCTGGGGACAAATATAATGATTTGAGTAAATATTACCGTTGTTAATTACCTCAATTAGAGTAATGTAAGAAAATATTATTTTTATCTAAAGAATATTTGGCAAAAGTCAGTATTTCCTAAGTATTAAATATTATAAAAAAACGTGTTTAAAAAAAATGTATCATAAATAAAATAATAACTATTATGTTATTTATGATAAATTTATATAAATCTATTATTATAATTTATATACATCACATTAACGATGTTGTCTATAAAGTAGAGGTTGCAGCTGTTATTTCAGCTTCAGCTATAAACTCATTAGCTTCAGATTAATGCTGAATATGATCAAGTCAGTATAATTACCTTAATAGCTGATAGGAAAAGAGAATAATATTCCATAAATATTTTATGCAAAATATATTTTTATATAGGAATTTATTCAATGAAAATCTAAAATAGTGATAAAATTTAAACATACATTTTAAAAATTTTAAATAAAATTTGCCAAAAGTTGTTGCTTTTTGTAAATGTTGCCATCAGAGCCCAGGCCTAGGATTCACAATATTAGGGGGCCCAAATTGGGTTTTCAGAGATTTGTTTAAAAAGTGGTGAATAGAAATCTAATTCCATTTTTAATTTTCTTAAGGGGACCAACTATCTCTTGTTCAAAAAGAGTACACTTATCAAGTATTTCATAGGTAAAAAAAAAAGAAGAAAAAACAATAAAAAACTTTATCTTCTTTAAAAAAAATATTTTTCTTCAGTGGATTTTTTATGCTAAATGAGGATGTTCCTCTAATAATGTTGCCACATCCGAACATATTAAGTTGCTTATTGAATTTGACTGTTAAGACGGCATATAATGTTTTTACAGAAAGTTGCAACTTCTCACTGCTCCAATAATCATTCCTTTGTGAAAATACCCTTTCAACAGCAGCATTAGTGTCCGGACAACAAAGAAATTTCTATTAAAACTTTTAAGTTTTCATTTGGGATATGTTCTACTCTAAAATGCCGAAAGATATCTACCCATCTTTTTTCAAGTTCTATTTTCTCATTGTTCCATTTCTTCAATTTTTCTTCATTTAAATATAAATTTACTCTTCGAATTTCTTCAAAGAGAAAATTGTCATTAATAACAATATCTTATACTTCCTTTATTAGAAATTCGACTGCTGAAGGA